CTATGATAAGTGTTCAGTTTATATGTCTACTAGGCATTGACACATAATAATTGTGGGTCTATTAATAGCTTCATTTTTGCCGTAGGAGGAATATTAAGCTGCACCATCGCTGTACCTAGGCACGTATAACCACAAGATATAATAAATACACACCTAACGATACTTCATTTGTGTAGACTTGAGGATATGTGTAGGTAAAGGATTTCAGCTTGATAAATCAATATGGCATATTTCGACTGTCTTTTGTAGGCTTCGTTTAATTATACATGCCCAGTCTGATTCTTGGGCTTTCGGTCACCGTATTTAATTTTTTTTTGTTATTTAGAAGCATATTTTAGGCCAATTAGATATCTGGTAAAAAAAAAAAGAAGCCTTGTGAGAAAATAGGTGCATCAACAACTCTTTCCTGGGAACAGATGGGGCTTATACTCAACCTTGGCTGGCTTTTCCGCCCAAGGCGGTAAAAACTAAGTGTTTAAGGTAAACTGCACAAAAGCGAGCTGAATATGACTGCGGCTTGACAAACAGTTACCAGCAAGTCGGAACGGCACGAATATCTCCATTCCCTAAGGCGACTACTGCCAATATCCCGAATCAGGTCCTTCCCCTTCTGAACTGAATTTCACCCAGTTGTCACTAGCCTACGTAATCCAAATCTATTATAATTCCCAGCCCGGCGAATGGAAAACCTGCACGACATCCGTACTCCTGAATTTATTGGCTTCACCGGCCCCTGCTTTGCGACGCCCCCATCTGTTCTTGTCCTCATGGCAATTCCCGTTTCTGCTATCGTAGAAACGGGACAATGATAATGACGATGAGAACACCGATCCAGTGATCCAGTCTGTTCGAAGCTTCTTTTGTCTAGGATTTTTTCTTCACTCGTTATATTCATCGCTACGCGATGTCCTATTCTTGCATTCTCCTTCTTTATCGTTATCTCATTTTTCTAATTCCCCATGGCACGATTTCGCTTTGTACCGCTCACCTTAAGATCTCCTCCTTCGGTTCTTTATTCTATTTTCTCTTTATGTCAAGGCAAGAAGTTTTTTACTCTGTTTTCCCGCTTTGACGTTTCATTGGAAACTGTATTTCGAAGCACATGTATGTAGTTCGCTCGAACGGGTCGGGTCTAAATGGTCTCCTAAATAATCAATCGCTGGCAGTGTTCGTCGAAGACTCGATCGTCTGTGACGACATTTCATCTATTCTGTTGATAAAGACTACAAGAAATAGAAGGAGTCGATGCACTTGACCGCTGTACGTTTCCATCGGCTGATCCATCGATTTGCCAAAGCGTACGTTCATTTACCAGCTGAAATCTTCAAGCACATTACTGTAGAAGGGCTTCGCTAGCACAGACCAGTAACAGACACAACTGAGGATTTATAAACGAATCAATAATCGCATCATGGTAGGCTTTGTGGAACTCTTCTCGCGTAACGCACTCGGCATGTGCTTCGACTCGCTTGAATGTGCCCACATATACGATGGATATACTACATAATGTGAATTTGTAATAATGTATACGTAAATATTCTAACGTTTTGTCGTCAACTGCATCGACGTATGTGAGAGTGTATTCAATTTATTAAAAGTATCAGAAATTATGTCGTTCTCTCATTGACTACGGAGTCAAGAGGAGTTAGCGTGAGGCTTTTCATTAATGCCTAATCGTCGACACTTTTTAACGCGTCTATGTACAGGTAGCTCGTATATGTCCTGCTAGTCATACATCATCTACTGGAAAAGACAAAGCATTGTTAGCATGGCGCATCAAAAGACTGAGAGAGGGCACGACCAGAAAACTTTTGTGGAATGCGACACCCTTCATTATCTGAATACTCTAAGCAGTGAGATAGTTACGAAAAACGCTGAAAGGCAGCGTGAGAGATTTGCCCCTATCCTGCTTAATTCCGGATCACTTTGGGACTGGCTTCTAGGAAGGTACAAAACAACCATTGCTTAAGCATACCAGAGTCTAGAGACTAGCGGCGAACGATTTGCTCTGATGTGCACAGGGAACTGTAAAGTGCAGATCGTTCTAAAGATGGATACGTCAAGCTCAGCTGCGAACCACACGAGGCCAGGACTCGACCGTCAGCATTTCAGTCGAGAAGTGCTACGTTTACCCTTCTCTAGAGCGGTTGAATAGAGTGCTAATTTTGGATAGAGAGAGAAACTACAAAAGTCCCGGGTAGTGTTCCGATGGCGCGGGGCTTTCCCATGGCAACGGGAAAAACAAGGGATGGGGCAAAAAGGAGTAGAATGAACAAATGCGTACGGAGAGAAAGTATAGTACGGCTCACGTCGTCTTTTGAACTGGCAATGGGTATCTGAGCTGGTGCTAGAGCTGAAGCAAACCAGCAGCGGCAGTAGCCTGGATCCTCTGAGGAGCTCTATTCCGGGTCATTAGACCGACAGATTCTGGGCTTACGGAAGATAGCCTGCGTGCTGCGTTCAGTTTGGGAGGCCCCGGTTATACTGTTTGCTCGTCGAAATCGCGAGTGGCTAGGATGTTCCAGATGTGCCACCGTCGGAAATGGAACAAAAAAAAACGAGATTCCAGGCGAGGGCAGCAGCAGCAGCAGCAGCAGCAATGACAGTACATTGACAACGACAACTACCACGCAAAAGACAGGCGATTGTGCTATTCTGCTATAATGACACTGGGTTTTCTTTGTTCTGCTTCTGCTAGATAGCCTCCTTCTGGTCATCACGGTGCCTACTCTCCCTTGCCGATGTCCACACTTGGCTGTCCCCTAACTTCTCCCATCCCCCGGTTATATAGCCCCTTTCTCCCTCAGATAATGTAGGTAATATGAAGCACTCATTGACTGGTTAGGCGAGTATTATCGCCGCAATACATGGTGAAATCAATGTTTCCTTACTGCCCCTGTAGCGGCTACACTCACTCCAGTTGCGAGGCTACGGACTGCTGCGCATGTGCAAAACAGGGACAGCAAACCTTCAGCCTGTAGCAGGCTCCCAAAGTAATGACGATTGAGCCTGAGAAGTATATGAGACGCTGATGACTAACAAAGGACGAACGCTTGCTTTGGCTGCTTTTATTTTTTCTAGTACTTCTTCTTCGTGCTTGAAGGTTTTGTTTAGCTTCGTTTTTTTTTCAGGGAAAAAGTGGGAAGTCAGAAAGGAAGAGAGAGAAAGCAGAGGAACAACGCCAAAAAAAGAAAACGAGTAGCAAACCTAGGAGAAGCTATGCCAAATAAGCAAAAACGAGTTCTTTTTACTTCTCTCATTCCTTTTACTTTTTGCCCACCTTTGCCTTCTCTGAAAGTGGGACACGAATGAGAATTACGTCTGCGCTTTTTTCTACTTTGTGCCATTGTAGCGTCTATAGACAGACTACCGCTCGACCCCCACTGTTGATTTGGTTAACACGCTAAAGACGGGAACACAGCTGTACTGCAAGTAGACTGCTGCGTATTGAAGGTTATGTCGAATGTACATTGAATATATAATGGAGGTTGCATAATGGTCTCGAAGAGCGGAAGGCGATGAAGTTTGCGTCCCCTGTCCCCCCTACTTTGCGAGGGAAAAGACAGAGAGCGAACGTAATATTTGCCGACCATGCCAGTAACAGCGAATGCGAGCAACTTAGCTCGACGTTCGACAGAACGGAAAGGACAGAAGCGCAGCCAAAAGAAAAATACAAGCAGGTACAATAGTGGCAGCAGCAGGGCAAGTGACGCGGAAGATATCTTCCAGTTTATTGGCTATTTCCAGGCCAATCCGATCCCGACGTTAGGTCGCATCCCGCGCTAGCCGGATCTGACAACCTTCAGCTGCACGCCGTCAACTCCGGCCGCAGAAGCAGGCAATAGTTTATCTTGTTCATGGGAACAACACTGCTACCAACACTATTACTGCTCGTGGGATTGACTGAAAAGACAAAGCAGTCCAAAGACTTGGACCATCAGAAACGTCCATCCGTTTGCCCGTTTACTTCGTCTCGTCGTTTCAAATGGTAGCTGGCGTAGGGTGACAGAAAATGGAGGAAGGCAGAAAGATGAGCGCTTAACGTAAGAAAAAAGAGAAAGCAGTACACCAGAGAGCAGTCCTGTCACAGAAAAAAAGGCCAGAGAAGATAAGACGATAACTGTGTAATGTATCCGTGTGCATGTAAAAAGAAAACATCGTCATAGAAATATATAGAGTATTTTTATTTTGTCGCGGTAACGTGAAAAGTGGAAACGCGTCAGGAATAGTGAAAAAAGATAGAACAAAAACTGGGAAACGTTAGTGAGGTTTCCGGAAATAGGTTCGACGCATTAAAGTAACATTCTGACGACATAACAAAAATATAGGAGATTAACTTAATTTTGATGATTTTAAAGGTAGAACTATGTAGCAACATGTTTTCCTTAGTTGTCCTTTAAATATATATTCAGGTATTTAAATAAAGGAGGGCGGAAATAACAAATGTGTACAAATGAACCTGAAAAACGTCAAATTCAAAGCCAACAAGACCTTAAGCAAATTCTGACGTTCCATTTTTAAAATGGATTTTATTTCTTTTTGAATATGAATTGCAAAAATAAGTAGCATGGAGGACTTATGTTTGAAATCATCAAACCTTAGTTGAAGTTTCATAAGGTTACTAGACCTCCTGAACACGCTGTAATTGTACAATAAAATCTCATTGTTTTATTTATTATATTACATTATTATACTATAATTATATTACGAAGTGTCAGTCTTTTCTATCTACCCGAACTTTTACTGTCATATTCAGGACGAAGAACGTGGTACTCTATCATTAAAGTTTCGCAAAAATTCACTGCAGCTAGTAACCTCTGCACTTTTTTTACCTCAACCTTCCACCTAGTCTTTACTATGTAGTTGTTGCGGCTGTACGTAAGCGTGTATATATATGCGCGCCTGTGTGCATATAGAGCCGGAGACGTAAGTAATGATCAGTTAGTTCATCTATCTGATTACCAGTTTGCAAAAAGGAGACAAGACAAAGCCTCACTCACCGCTTCTAATCCTGGCGTTATTGTGCCTCTCGAGAGTTCACTGGCCCGACTCATTAAACCTTGCTCACTTACTCAGGTACGAGACAATGAATCGTCAACGTGATGGCGCTTTTCGGCCGAGCTCGTTGGCTTCTCACCCTTCACTTACTCACACCTTTCGTTCCTCATCGTTGATGTTATTCACGCTTCTTTTTTTTTTTAACCTTGTTTCCATCAAATTCAGTGATAGCGGTCCGCTTTCGTATAACCTTCAGCTGGTAGCGTAGGGTTCACCAATTGTTGTTGTTATTGTTGCTACTGCTGTTTTTCATTGAATGGATGCTGCGTGCCAAAAAGAGGCAGTATTATCTTCATTGACGCAACACTATACTATTCGGGTTGATGAGTTTTTGTCGACATGGTCGCCATTGAGCATTTCTCGTTCCCTTTTTTTGTTATCGTAGAGAAAATCGGAACCATATCCGTTAATGTAACAAAATAGAGGAAGGGAAAGGGAGGGTAAGGGGGACGCTCCGACGCCAACGAGGGGTGCACCACAGATATGTGTTGTATTAGCGGTAGAACGGGAAATTAATCGTTCTGGAGAAAAGCTTGTCTACGCTGTATAGGCATTACTAGTTATACGAGTACACAGTAATATAGCTTGTATTAGACGGTACTGTTGCTCAGTTATCGGAATCAGCTTCGAGCGTTTCGGATCGACCCTGATGCTGTTGCAGAACCGCGTACGCTGGCTATCGGATTGGTTAACCTTTTTTACATGATGTCGAGAAGTGGTAGCACCAGACTAAATAATAAAGTCAAACAATAGTAAAGGGACAAAACGTATTGAAATGTTTCTTTCTTTCGAAGCTTTCGCTTTAGTACAGCAGCCGGTTTTAGCGTTAAAGGCGATCCTGGCTGTGATTGGACGGTGGAGAACATCTGCAACAGGCTGGTGTCGGAGGGATATAATTGTTATGTTCATGAGCTATTAGGCAATATCAGTACAACATAGTTTTAGTTAGAATCAATACAAAATAATCTCTAGAATAAAAGCTGATGTTCCATGCGATGACAGGCTACGAGACTCTAGCTAGAACCCGATCACATTGTGTTGGATACTAAGCAATATGAAATGTAAATTTTCATAGAGTTTCGATATCGGCTATAAACTGGATGAATGCCATAAATATGTATTTTTTTTTTATACGACATACCGAGATTGCTCTTTTGTATCACTGCCATTGAATACACATGATAAGAAAGGCAGAATTCGCCAAAAGTATAGGTCCGATATATACTTGAGCAACTTCGCAGTGATACTGATGAATTTGTTGCTTTGGGTCTCATAACTGAAGTGGTACTTTTGTCGATCTGGTCTTAACTGGCCATGGCCTTAACCCATTAACAACCTATTAATTAATTCATATTAACAATCTGTTACCAGATTTAGATCTAATTAAACACTGTAATAATTTCCTGTTGACAATCTACGTTAGGGACGCTGGCAGTTTGCACATTCATAATATTTAAGTTTAAGCTTACTTAGTCGACAGATGAAGGAAAATTTAAAGAAACCCACATTTTTTAGTGTATATATATATGTGCATGTGGTCATCTTGTTTTTCGCTATATGCAGGACATTAATGTACGGCAGCGGCTCTCACGTGTGGGATCCTGTACACTTATAGGATGACGGCTAAGATGCACAGAAAACGATAATGCCCCTAGAAAGTCAGAACATAATTTTCTCACCCACCTTTGCTGCATTTCTTACTTGCCCCTTTAATGAAATAGCGTTGTTACTTAATGAGGGGAACACTGGCATAACTGCTCGCCATCGATTAAAATGTTTGATAGCACTGACTGACAATATATAGATCTGCTTTCAAGCAATCAGGAGAATAAATAGAAGAAAAAAAAAAAAAGCTATTTTAGCTTCTTTGTCAAATGAGGTTTAGTTACGTTTATTCTGTAATTAGAATGAAGTAGAGTTTATGCATACAAAATAAATGCAGAAAGGAATAGGTTACGTCGGCAATCTCGAAAACGGATTCAATTATTCTAGGTACTTCTGTACAGGTGAACTTGAAAGTTCTACGACAGAAACCTCAGACCTATAGAAGCTCACTGTTGCTTTTAGAGATCAGAAAGAAACTATCCTGATGGTTAAAATTGCACGGGCTCACGAAAACCCTATACGTATGACATATTCAGCAGCAGGCCGAGCTATTCCGAATCAAGTCAATGTCAACAGGCGTAATTAATACAATAAAGGTTACAATTCAAATAAATGTTGGTTGTTCACAATGATCTGTAAACTACGTGTTATAAAGATAAATTTGAAAAAAAAAAGGACGTCCTCCAAAACGAACGTTTTCCAACAAATGACAGGGAAACGCTTTTGGGGAAGCAGTGATAAGTGACACTAAACCTGAATAGGATGGGTGCAAGTAAACGAATGAATGCTTATTGACACAGAATATCAGTCGGATCCGTTTTGATATAGCTGATTAATACGTATGTCAGATGGAATCGTCGTACTCGAAGATAAATATATAAGTATAAAGAATATTAAAAAAACAACTATTCGCACGTAGAAACGCCTGATAGCATTATCGTAGCTGTTTTTTCTTTTCGTCAAGTGTGCTTCACGTTTGAACGTTTCGAGCTGCTTGATGATGGTCTGCGCGACCACGCTGATACTGACCCCGTCTGTGTTACGATTAGTTTTAGACAATATGTACGAACTCAATCTGCAGACTGCTATTCGTTGAATTCTCATTAAGAAAGTATATGAAAGAAACATCAGAAGACGCGTGTGTTACTGCATAAATACTTATATTTATCTGTGATTTCCGCCTTGCGAAACTTAGCAATTTTTCATAGAGCAATACTACATGATACTTGGTACTGCTACTACGAAGAGCCAGCAAAAGGGCATAAAAAAGTGCAGGAGATTGCAGGTCGTGAAGTACTGTTGATGACTACCCCCCTTTCTGGCGAAGCTTAACTTTTTGTCGACAGGCGAGCAAAGAGACAGGTAGACAGACATCGGTATATCGCTCTGCTGCATGGGAGCTGTATTTGGGTCTGCAACAGCCTAAGGTGGGACAGGGGTGTCATCGAAATTAACCAACTAAGCAATACATATACATGTCGAAAGCCATGTGAAGCCGTACGCGACAGGTAAAGCCCATGGAAATCAGCGTAGCATTACGGAGCAACAGGAATCGTAGTGGCACCGTAGTACATCAGCAATTACGTTGCCACGAGCGAAAATTGTCATACCATTATCACTGGCAATTACGTAGACTATTGTTATATTATTATTATCAATATCACCTTAGTAATATTTCTGATAAACCATTTTATTGCCATCATTAAGATGACACGCTAAATAATAGATCCGGTACGCATATAAACATTCATATGTATGTCACATTGGCCTGATAGTGACGCCTGTATCGGGAAGATATAGTGTTAAAAGGAACGGCCAACTGTCAATAAATCTGTCACACTGTCTGATAAAAAGCAGGCCGTTCGATTTAAGTAACTGTGTTTCGGTAGCATATATCCGGAAATCACAAATGTATTTTTACGCTACACGACAGAACATACGTTTGACAACATTGCATCTCCATATATAGCACGTTCCTCTATGTCATCATTTTAGTGGCTATATATGATCGATCAAATTTAGCCTTGAGTGATTAGAAATTTCATATAGCCCTGCTAAAAACTGTCTAGAAGGCGCATTTAATGATCAGCGTTACCGTGATGAATTTGATATAGGCGTTCGTTCAATTTTGCAGGACCCCGTCAATGTACTGATGTCATGACAGCTGCGAACGTCGCAAATGGCCAGATTTTTTATGGGTTATTGTGAAATCCCATTAGCTGCAATATAAAACACTTGACAGAGTCATATCTGAATCTAATTTTTTTGCGGAAAATACATACGATGAATATGATTGTTCCACACGCGAGCAAGCACCGATGACGCTGCCACACAGATATTGTAAAACGATTTAAATTGTTTCAATATTATATACATTCATTGTGATTTCCAAGCCCTTAACGTTCTCTGCCGCGTATCAACGGGCTTCTTCAATTACGTGCTACGATCACATTTGCATGATCCGCACCACTCTTCTATATTACACTACAGGTAGCACAAAACCTTCGAATGTTTTGTAATCTGTAGACCCTTTATTAACCGGATATACGTGCCATAAATGAAGATTTTACTATCTTCAACTTTAGTTAGTCTTTTTGTCGCTGCAACGTTTCTTGTTACTAAAGTATTATCATCTTAACGTCGTATCTATTATACATAAGCACTATGCTTCTTTTAGAACTCCTAAATCTTTATTATCATTAATAAAGCACTAAGATACAAATGCATTAAGCTAAGCGGCCCGATATCTGTATAGGCTTTGCAGAGCCGTTCATTTCCTCGGTGTCATTAGATTCGCAGGGCCGCACATATAGTGTCCGGTGCTCACTTACCAATATTGGAGTATTACTTACATTAGGGAAGAGACAATGCACTCCTTTCCGTTCTCCTTTATCCTGTGCTTATTTCGTTGTACTCACTGCCAGTCAGAAGAATAAGACAGAGGGTAGAAATGGAAACAGACGACGTGAGCAGTGACCGTCAGCTATCTGCTCTCCTACCTTTAATCGTGTTATTAACTGAGTTATTTTAACAGAGCGTAGCTCGAACAGAACGTGGCCCTGAAATCGTCTCAGAGAAGTCGTACGTCGCAGCTAACTGTCATAACTTGCTGCCATAATCGTTAGTTTCCAATCGCGTTATCCTGAACAGCAGACAAAAAGGAGGAGCTGAGAAAAGCAACGCAAAGAAAAAGCATGATCATTGCTTCGGTCGAGAGAAACTGGTGCAGAATTCATCAATATTATTACAAACGCTTCGTCTTGGCAATGCAGGAAAACAGTAGCAGATTTTTACCGACGTCGACTGGGCTACAAAAGGGTATCTGCACGAGTTTCGAGATGTAGCTTGTAGTAGAGCCTTCAGCTATACGCGGCCAATGATGAGCGCTAACATGTTTGAGATGCCTAGATTCAAAGGGATTGCAAACTGCCACTGTCGTCGTCGTTTGTCAGAAACGTCGCGATGATCGCTGGCTATCGGGTAGCGGACAATTGCTATCTGAGCGAGCATGCTGCGAATCAGTCACGCGTTAAATGGCAGATCGTAGGGCACAAAGAGAGGTCGTTTTCCGTTGGTTATCGTATGGATGAGGCGTATTTTGTTTCACTTAACCGGCACCGTTTTCCCATTCGGTTCCAATGATCTGCTCTGACGCTAAGTGAGGCCGTCCACGCTTTGCACTGACTAATGCAGAAGTTCTTGAATAGAACAAGACGCTGCAGGTTAACGGTGTCAGCTACGCATGTACGTATCGTTTGG